TATACATTATGAAACACACCTTAAAGTTATGTGTATTCTGTGAAAGTACAAATACTGTACATTGGAATACAACAAAATATTTCAAAAGTGCAGCAAAATATTTACCAAAATTCAAATTTTAAAATTACAAGTAAATTGGGCTTGCCTCGTGGTCTGATAGTGACAGGAGCCAGACCCTGCATGGCTGACCACACATTTCTAATCTGGCCTCAGTGGCTTGAAAAACATGCTGGGCATAAGTCTGTGTATGCACAAACTCCAAGCAGGGGGCAGAAATGGAGGAGATGGGATTGTGGCATGACCGTGTTCCATTGTGGGGTGCTTTTCCCCTCTCCCTCCCTCTCTTCTTTTGCCATCTCTCTGATGAGTGCACATACCCTCTGAAAATGTTTTAAAAGTAAAATACGACATACTTTAGTTTGTATCTGCTCTGACTTCCTCCTTTGACAATATAGATCTGGGTGATTACTACAGAATTGTAGGTGATGGTAATTGAATGCTTATACTTCCAGCTATGGATAACAAAGCATTCTAGCTAAGCATCTCCCATCTTCCATGGAAGATTTTGGTTGGGCTCAGTGGTTCTCTCAAGAAAATAGGACTTCACTGATAATCTGCACCTTATCATCACATTTCAGGGAGCACAACTTCAAATCACTTTTCAATAATTTTTAACATCTTAGCTAAAAAAGAAAATATTTACTGAAAATAGCCAGGTGGATATATGTTATTCTAGGAACTAAAAAAAAAATCTATAATAAGATTAAACCACACAATCAGAGAGAAAGAAATTAACCTTTGGTAAAATTACTTTGAGTAAATCATTTTTGCCAGTATAATATTATCAACCTATATTTCTCATTATTGAAAGAAAAAGAAACAGCTCTATGATATCTGATAGGTATAATATTAATATAGAGATGTCGATGAAACTGTGCTTTATGACATTTGGTACTTCTTTCTCCATCAACTTAAGTTAAACTTCTTTCGGGTCATAATACTAGGAATAGCTGGGCTTCAGGCCTCATGTGTGTGTGTGTGTGTGTGTGTGTGTGTGTGTGTGTGTGTGTGTACATTCTTTTGGCTGGGCTTCTGGACTCTGTGTGTTGTGTATGTGTGTGTGTATATTTCCTTATAGAACCTGTGAAGCATGTCATAGGACACTGAATATACAGTCTGATGTTAACTCGCTAAATTCTACTTAATATCCTTTTGTTATTAATTTATATTACTTGTTCTTAATACATGTTTTCCTGCTGCATTTTTTTCTATTTG